TCTTTCCCAACATCAGGGTCTTTTCCAGAGAGTCTTCTCTTCTCATGAGGTGGCCAAAGTATTGGAGTCTCAGCTTCAGGATCTGTCCTTCCAGTGAGCACTCAGGGCTGATTTCCCCACATATAATCTGTTTGTTTGCTTTTTAAAGTCCTATGATCTCGCATTGCTCTTATTTGCCTGTTGGCTTTTTGTAGCATGGCAGGGGCAAATCTCTCAAAAGCCCAGAGCTTGAATTTCCACCAGTAACCAGTCCTGTGTAACCAGTCCATTATTGCCTTGCACTGTGCACAATTGCCTGATCTGGGCCATCTCCTGAAGTTGAGGTTTTTTACATACTGCGCAGCTCTATGAGTCCCAAGGAGAAGACAAGTGCTACTTTCAAACACAAAGGGCTAAATATCAAAATATATCATGAAAGCTGCCCCAGCCAGCATGAGAAATGTCAGTGTTTTTCACAGCCACAAAGACATCAGAAAATGATGTTCTTATTTTTCATTTATTTAATTAATATACCACCCTTCATCACAATATCATCTTTGGAACCCTCCCTGGGGGGCTTTTGGGCTGGTGGCTCCCAGCTCTCCTCTTCAGCAAACCAGGTCCTGATATCCGGCAGACCTTCCAAGTGTCTCTATTTTCCAGGGACAGTCCCAGATTTACAGAAGCTGTCCCAGTTTCTGATTTGATCCTGGGATGCCCCACTTTTCCTTAGGATGTCCCTATTTTCATTGGAGAAATGTTGGAAGGAATGTCTCTGTTTTCATCGGATAAAAGTTGGAGGGGACATCTCTATTTTCATCAGAGAAATGTTGGAGGGTATGCAGTATCTCATGATTCAGGTTGCAGAAAAATTAGAACAGGGCTGGAATAAAATGGCATTTATACTCCCCTATAAATATCCTGCTTCCTGCACATCATGGTCATTAAACTGATGCAGAACATTTGTGAAGACTTTTCTCTTGAAATGTCCACTGTCCTGTCCATACTTTAGGCATGATCATTTGAACAATTGCACATTATACTGCTGGGTATATCCAGTAATTGTTTGGTGAAAGAGTCCTCAATAGAGTTATGCTCATTTCTAAGTGTTTGGAGAACCAGTGCCTTAGTTACATTTGCATTTAGACTCATATCAATTTTTCAGAGTATTCAGTTAACCTTTTGTTTCAACCTTCGCTAGTTCCCTTTGAAATGAAAGCCACCTTTCGAAATGGAAATGAAAAGGGTAATGTTGACTCCAAAAGCTTTCAGAAGAGGTTTAAATCAAGATTTAGTAGTCGGAGACAGACAGGGCCAGACAGATCCTTGTCCCAGTAAAAAGCTTACTAGCAACTTGTATTTTATCTCCCTGATTGCATTCTGTCAGCTGATGTGCTCTCAGCCTCTGAGGCCTCCCTACTGCATTGGCCATCAGTTATGATGAACAGAAGGAAAAGGCCTGCAGGTTTCTAATCAAATAAATTTGAATAGTGCTGCCATGGGTACCGTTCTGACTTTGTGACGCTGTAACACTTTATAACCCTGCCAAGAGAGTCTTACAGAAATGCCTGAAATGTAAATGAACTGCACCTCAGACAACCTTCAAACACGGCAAAGTGCAAGAGAGGAGCCAAACTTTCCAGCAAACTTTGGCTGTGGTTTAAGAGTGGACGAAATGACATGCGGATGTAGGGTCTGGGTGATCTTATGTACAGGAATGTGAGAGCAGGTGCATGTGGGTCATTCATGATCAGTTTAGAGATGCAATGGTATGGGTCATGGTTAGGGGTGGACATTTGAGATTTTGATCCTGTAAATGAAGCTGTGCAGGAAGAAGAGTTTGTAACTGCTGACGATCAAGCACCTGTAAACCTCATTTTCGCCAGGAAGACACATCTTTTGTCTGCTCCTTACTTGATATAACTTAAAATGTCAGGTACAGACAAGTGAGTATGGCTTGGAGGAAATGGCCCTTGAAAGTTCCCAAACATTAGGGTTGTCATACGTCAGTAATTTCCCAGACATATTCAGGATTTAACTGGGATTTTGAGGTTGATTGCCTTAAAAAAGCTCAACAAAAACTTTTATGCCCTGAATTTCACTTCTAGAAATATGACAACCCCACCAAAAACTGCTGTATTGAATAATAACAATCAATCAATTGATTGTGTACAGTGGTACCTCTGGTTATGAGCTTAATTCGTTCCGGAGGTCCGTTCTTAATGTGAAACCGTTCTTAACCTGAGATACCACTTTAGCTAATGGGGCTTCCCGCTGCGCGATTTCTGTTCTCATCCTGAAGCAAAGTTCTTAACCCGAGATACTATTTCTGGGTTAGCGGAGTCTGTAACCTGAAGCGTCTGTAACCTGAAGTGTCTATAACCACTGTATAGCCAAAGGCCTTTGCAGTCAACAGCAGAGGACAAGAGCAAGCCTTTCCCCTGAAATAACACAACATATAAAAACCTATAAAAGTTTACATCATTCAATATTACAGGATACAGTTTTAAAATTAGAAAGCATTAGTATGGCTGGAATGGAGCTTCTTAGCTGCCAGAGCAAATTTGTGTAATTTGCAGATCTTTATCAGCTAAGAGTTCGGCTGTCACTTCCTGGGGGGATTGGCTTGAGAACCAGATAAGAATAGGCGATAAAAAAATTATCTTGGCATTGTATATAAGGGGCAAATCAGCAGGTAGTGCATGATATCCTTGACCTGGTTGCATTCATAAATGCATTTGTGTTTCATACAGGGAATTCCCCTCTAAGTATGCTAAAGGCATCTGTTGGAACCTTAGTTCCACAAATGGCATTTCCGTGCACTGCTCTGGTTCGCCAGAAGCGGCTTAGTCATGCTGGCCACATGACCCGGAAGCTGTCTGTGGACAAATGCCAGCTCCCTCGGCCAGTAAAGCGAGATGAGCATCGCAACCCCAGAGTCGTCCACAACTGGACTTAACAGTCAGGGGTCCTTTAAGGGATAAATATTTCTCCATTTGGAGATAGTAAGCCCTATTTCGAATAATATGGTGCCAAGGAAAACCAAACAGCCAAGGATCTCACCAGCACCATTCCTTGAGCTCACCTACGCACATGAAAAGTTTATTCCTTTCTATTCCATTTATAATAATAATAATAATAATAATAATAATAATAATGTATTTGTACCCCTCCCATCTGCTGGGCTTTCCCAGCCACTCTGAGCGGCTTCCACAAAGACCAAAAATATACTAAGATGTCACACATTAAAAACTTCCCTGAACAGGGCTGCCTTAAGATGTCTTCTGAATGTGAGGTAATTGTTTATCTCTTTGACATCTGATGGGAGGGCATTCCACAGGGCGGGCGCCACTACCGAGAAGGCCCTCTGCCTGGTTCCCTGTAGCTTTGCTTCTCGCAATGTTCTTAATTTAGCCTTCTCAAAATTCAGGTTGTCATTGCACACTTAGCTAGGAATACTGCCCACTGAATGGGGTTTGTGTTAGAGGAGATACACACTGGAATGCACTGTAAAACTGACTTTAGTGGGCTTCAACATTTCAAACTATATGTTCTAAACAAGGCCACAGAGCAAAAACTCCAAGAAGAGAAAGAGTTTCTTTTTTATTATTAACATCATTTTATTATTACAAGATGTCATTGACAATGCTAAAATGGGTCCTGACTTTGGACAATCCCCCAGACCCGGAGAATATGTTTTCCACTAGTTTGCTACAGACCCTGGAAATTATTTTGTAATTTAACACTCTCAGGTGTCACAGCTAGATAAAGAATTCTGCTCGGGACTCTACAGCAAGTCCCTTGCCGGTGTGAAAATTTGAGCCTGATGTAATTCTGAAAAGTCCAAATGCACAACTCTGATTCCAAATTATATCTACTTTGCTATGAGGTGAACTCATAAGTTAAGATTTTTTAAAGTCATCTTCCTTGGAGGCATGTACTTTTCCTCTTCCCATCCCCTTAACAGGAAGAAAGAGTTCAGGGAGAGAAAGTAAAAGTAATTTAACCTTCTTAAAGCAGGTAAAATAGATTTGCTCCAGAGAAGATGCATGTCTGACAGTGTTCAATTTTGGGATGCTGCTTGAATAAGGAGCATCTCATCCTTCTTCCTTTCTAGTGGGTTCATAAAATTACAAGCCGTACTACACAGGGCATATCCCACTAAAAAATACTCTTCTGTGGAATTGCCTTTGAAATGAATGGCAGCAATGCAAGAACTTAAGTGTGCTGTGTATTCCTGCATCCAAACATCTCTTACCCACACACAATCATGATGAAAAACTAGCACCAATGGTTCCATAAGTTCCCAACTTGTTATTGATTTGGTTTCAATATAGTGGTTTCAGTGCAACTTATGACTGATCAGCTGTGAAGAGACATTTAAAATCCTTAAGAAGTTTTGCTAATCTTAATGTAGTAGATCTTAACCTGGAGTTGGGAAGCTTCTTTCTGGAGCAAGATAAACCCCAGAAGCCTGCGGAATCCAGGAATCATGTAGGCCTTGTCTTTGGTCCATCGCTGTACAAAAGCAACCCTGTAAAGTACAAGTAATTCAGTATTGTAATGCCCCATACTGCAGAAGGAGGCTATGCCCCATATTGCAGATGGAGGCTACCAAAGAGTTCCTGGCAGAGGAGAGGTTCAAACAAAGAACTTCCTAATTTGAACCATAGTCCCTTGGCTGCAGTAGATAATTGGGTAGATCAGTTCTTGGAGATACATCAATACATAAGTGAGCGCCACACATTCCGGGTTCTGTCCAGCTCATTACTCCCCCCCCCCCCACAGCACTCTCATCAGCACCAGGTGGCTTGGTTTGGAAGCCTGTATTTTGATTTTCCACAATGCTCCCCAATGTAGTGTGATTGTGAGAAATGAAAATGGTGGCTCTGAACCACCCAACACTGTTCGGAGCACTGCTGCTCTGCTCCCACTGCTAGTAGGTCAATCTGTCAGGGTTTACCCACATGGGAGAAGACCACTGATGTCAGAGTGGGGAACTGGAGGGCACTTTGGTAAAGGGAAGTGCCATAGCTTAGTGGCAGAGCATCCACATTGCATGCAGAAGGTCCTTGGGTCAATCCCTGGCTTCTCCAGGAATGGCTGGGAACATCCCATGCCTGAAACCCTGGAGAGCCAAAGTCTGGGACTGTAGATAATAGTGAGTGAGATAAAGTGGTTGTCTGGCTTGGTATAAGGCAATTTCCTTTGTTCTCCACAGAACTTAAAGTCTTTTTTGTTCCACTAACTTCAATAGGAGAGATTGATGCATCTAATGAAATCAACAAGGCTTGGCAAGTGCTTCATTTTGAATGGATCATCTCCATTGTTAGCTGTCTTTGTTTTCTTGTTGTTGTTTTTAATAGAACAGATTACACATGTTTAGAGTGAATAAATAAATAAGGTGTTCTTTCTCTTTGCCTGTGAAATGCTTATTGGCCTATATTCACTTGGTTTGCTTTTAATAAACCCCTTAGGTCAAATGATAGGAGCAGAACCTCATAACATTTTATGACATCCCTTTGAAAAACTGCTGTTAACATAAACATAATTGAACATGCAATTTGCATTACAATTAAACATTAGCACCAAAGGGAAATTATTTCTACCAGAACTATGAGCACATTGGGTGTGTGGGTGTGGGTGTTATATAAGAGATTTTCCTTGGGCAAAACAACTGTTTTCTAACAAATGCTTAGAGCAGTGGCTGTCAAAATGTGGGTTCAGACCATTGCAAGGTGGTACAGGATGCCTGAGGCATGCAAAATCTATGGAACCTGCAACTGGAGGCGCCAGAGACACCTGCCACAGTGACAGATTTAACCTTGAAGTCACCCAAACTGCCTTGTTAACCTGTAGAAAGGGAGAGAACATAGGGGAACATCTGGCCTCAGTATCTCCTCCAAGTGCTTGGCTTCTGTGAGCCCAGCGAGATTCTTTGGGATGGCAGACTACAGCCCCCACCAGTGGCATAGCGTGGGTTGCCAGCACCCAGAGAGGGAAAGTATTGCTCTCCCTAACCAGTGCCCCCATGTGGCTGGTATAATAAAACGTTAAACATTAAAAACTTCCCTATACAGGGCTGCCTTCAGACATTGTTTGGTTACTTATCTCCTTGACATCTGATGGGGGGCTGTTCCACAGGGTGGGTGCCACTATAAAGAAGCCCTTTGCCTGGTTCCCTGTAACCTCACTTCTTGCAATGAGGGAACTGCCAGAAGGCCCTCAGTGCTGGATCTCAGCTGGAACTTTTCTGTGTGTTAGCAGTTACAGGCAGTGGTTAGGCCACCAGCAGCCCAGCCCACAGATATTTATGCACACATCAGCAGGTAATAAACACAGTGGTGTAGCATTTGTGGGGGGTACAGGAGTGGTTGCCCCAGGAGCAAAATAGTTAGTGGTGCAAAATGTCAACACCCATTGCCGCCTCAATATAGCTGTGCACTTTGCTGGGCTCTGTTGAAAACGGCTACTCCATGCGAAGCAGGAAGTGACCTCTTCAGACAACAGAACAACTCTTCTTATCTCTGTGGCTGTGATCTCCTGGGTGATACAGGCGCTGTTAGGCAGTTGAATGTGCATGTATACTTCATCCATTCCCCTCCCTCCTACCCACTCCACTCCATGTGGCCCAGGATGCATTTCTGTAATGAAAATAGGGGCGTCCTACCAAACACTCCAACATTCTACAGAAGGGAAAAAAGGGAATGTCGAATATGCAGTTCATGACCTTCTGGAAAACACACACACAAACTGCCCGTGCACGCTCACCCCCAGAATAAATAGCTGAGATCCCCTGTGCTTTCAGTTTTAAAAGAAAATAGGTCTCAGGCCTCATTACTGACTTGACTTTCAACATGGTTAATTTGGAGCAATTAGTGATTTTCGCTCACATCCTCTTATGTTCTTATCTCTGGAACTTAATTCTTTTTTGCTTTGTATATTCCCAAGGCTTTGCTTTGTTTTGTTACTGCCCAAACACAGCAACATTTCCGTTTAATTGGTCGGTGCCAACATTTGTGTGTGTGCGTGCTTGTGAGAGTTTGGAACTGTAAAAGAAAGAAAGAAAGAAAGAAAGAAAGAAAGAAAGAAAGAAGATGTATGCTGAATGGTGATTTTTTTAAAAATTAAACAAAGAAGCAAATAACCAGCCTAAATATATAAACAATGGTCTGGGGGAAAATACCAAATTAATAATGCCCAGGGATTAAAGAAACATCTCAAAATACCCCTCCACTTTTGCCTCTGGCCCCAGCTAGCACTGGCATTGTTCAGAAAGGAAATGTAGTCCTTGGGATGAAAGAGATTCTCCATCTGGGAAGTTGTCGGATTTAGTTGGAAGCCCAGCTATGCTGGGGAATGCTCAGTGTGCTACCACTAGGACCGACATGCTCGCAGATGCCAGGGGGAAATGCACAGGATTTGTTGATATAGCTTTAACTCTGAATTTGCAACAGGTGAGGCTAGACATGGGTGACACAACAGTTCGGAAGTCAACTAATGAAATATGTCCAATCGCTCCTTCCCTGGTGAACGGGGCTATTAGCAGGCTGGATCGTCCTGCCACCAAATTGGTTAATGGTGGCAGGAATTGGAGGGAATTCCCTGGGTACAGGACCAGCTGCGCAGCAGCAGTGCTCGGCCCCACGCACAGGGCCAGGATAACTTATCGGCCGGCTAGACCTTTGGCCTCTTTTTCACCATGTGGGTTATTGTCAATACAGACTGGCAGTGGCCCTCCAGAGCTTTAGGAAGGGGGCATTCTCAACTCCATCACCACCTGGAGATTCCAGGGGTTGCACCTGGGATCTTCTGCCTACAAAGCAGATGTTCTGCTCCTGAACTACGGCCCTTCCCTTACCAGCTGTGCCAGAGGATATTGTACCTCTGGTCTAGCAGAAACATAGGCGTATTCTATTTTATCTTATTTTGCAGTGTATCCATTCCTCACTTTCCTTGATTTTGAATGGGCCAGCCCAAAATTTATCAAAAGAATGTCTCAGTTGCCTTTCAAGATAAAAAAAATAACATCTCAAAATGGTGCACAATGGGGGAAAAAATCTTGAAACAAACATAACAATTCACAATTAAACTCTTGAAAGTGGAAACAGCAGTATAACCATTTCATTTTAAGTCAGCCAATAAAAAAGGTATAAAAACCCTCACTTGCAGTCATCGAAAAAAAACATGCAGAGAAAAAAGCATTAACCTACCCTTATTAAAAGCAGACTGAAATAAGAATGCATTTAGGGTGGGAATGTTGGAGAATTCCAACGAAACATGAGCAGAAATTGCTGATGGTTGCTTATTTGTTTGCTGATCTGTAGATGTCCAGGTCAGAAATCAATCCCGCAAATATGATTTGTATTCACTGTTGTTGCTTTCAGACTGCAAAAGATAACATACATAATTGATTGCACCCCCCCAAAAAAAATTGCATTGCATTTCCTTCACACCAAAATGAATAAAGTGGAACTACATAACGGAAATGTAGAATACATCATTAATATCATTACATATATTGTGCAAGTTCCATCATTTTTCCACATTAGTTAGCAATACAAATAATGTAGTTTCTCTTGGAAGAAGAACTGCAGTAGAATGGAAACAGCGCTACGTTCCACAAACACAGGGTGGGACGGAAAAGCGATGCCTTATTATATCCCTAATTTGGGACCCACCTAAGAGGCAATAATGAAGAAGCCAATCACATGCCTCCAAGGAGGAAGTTACACAGATATTGAGCATCTACTGCTAAGGTTTCAACTCTTGTGTCTCCCATTGTAACTACAGCTACTGACTGTCAAGGGTATGGCCTTTTGGGCTTGCCAATTGTAATGTTGGCAGTTTGAATCCGCGTGACGGGGTGAGCTCCCATTGCTCTGTCCCTGCTCCTGCCAACCTAACAGTTTGAAAGCATACCAGCACGAGTAGATAAATGGGTATCACTGTGGTGGGAAGGTAAATGTCGTTTCCATGCACTCTAGCTTCATCACAGTGTTCCGTTGCACCAGAAGCAGTTTAGCCATGCTGGCCTGGAAAAGCTATCTGCAGACAAATGCTGGCTCCCTTGGCCTGAAAGTAGAGATGAGGGCAGTACCCCATAGTCGAATTCAACTAGACTTAACCATCCAAGGGTCCTTTACCTTTACCTTTACCTTCTCGAGTCTTAGAATGGATGCCTTTTTCAGACTATTTAAAGAAATATTACAGTATGTTGAACTTACAAGCAGGATTTGAGCTATGAGCAACAGATGTAATTAGATTATAATATTGTAATTAGGATTCGATAGATAGAAGATAGAGTACAGCAGGAGAGAAACAAGAACTCCATGCAAAAGGGGGTGGGAAGTCGACAAAAATAAGAGAAAAAAGGAAATTATGATTTAACGGTATATGCTCATACCCTCCAACATTTCTCCAATGAAAATAGGGACGTCCCATTCCATAAGGCTAATGTTACTATTTATACTCCACACATTTTATTGGGTTGCCCCAGCACTCTGGACAGCTTCTAACACATATAAAAACATAATACAACATTAAACATTTTTAAAAAGCATTTCCCTATACCGGATTGCCTTCAGACGGTTCAGGATTCGGATAACTCCATACCTTCCAACATTTCTCCAGTGAAAACAGGGACACCCGAAGGAATAGTGGGACATTCTGGGATCAAATCAGAAACCGGGATGGCTTCTCTAAATCAAGGATGTCCCTGGAAATTAGGGATGCTTCGAGGGTCTGTATATTGAAAATGTTAAAATTTAATAAAACATAATTGAAAATAAAATAAAATAAAGTACTCAAGTCAGAATGGTTGGTGTCCAGAGTAGTTCAAACAGAACTTGTTTATTTTGGCTGGGGAGGAGATCTCATCCTGATGTTAGGTCCTAAAGGGCTTATGTGAGACATCCATGTTATACACTAGCAATACCTTTGCCGAGGTTAGAAAACCTCCCTGGAGATATGAAAGCTTCAAATGTTCAATGACATCTTCTTGGATTTGCAATAGAGAATAAAACGCATTCGTTTTGATTGCAGAAACACGCTCGCTCACCCCTGTCCCTCCAGAGATGCCGTTTAGATGACAAAATGCAACGTGACAGTAATTTGGCAATATGTAATTCTAATATCAATGTAAAACATGAAGGAGTAAAAAACATCAAATTCTCTACAGGGCTGATCTGAAAAAAAATAAAAATGGGGACTTTATTGACTTATTTATTTTAATCTCCCAACCTGTCAGGAAAGCATGATGGCCTTTGGAAGATGTGGCTCTTGAATAAGAGTCAATATAAACCAAAACCGTGTGGGATTATATATCTTTAGCTAAACGGAAGCAATATGATACAGATCATTAACTCTAAACACCTTCTCCATTCGTCTTTAGCAACACACATATTGAGGTTGCTGAACTGAGAAATGTTACTGAGGGTACAGGCCATCCATTTTAAGCTGTGATAGGGAAGGGGGGGGAATGATGTGTGTGTGAGAGTCAGGGGGGAATTCCTCTTTCCTATTCTGAATTATTATTGGGTTTGCTTAAATAATATTTGCTGCAACGAGGCCTTCCCATAAAATACCTAGTATAGATCACTGGGAGATGTAAAATATGCTACGTTTATATGTTGAACGGCTAGGAAGGTCGGCAATGATTTAATTCCCATACATGCATCAATGCCCTTTTAGTCAGCTTGTGTAAATAGCATGAAGTAAGTTTACCTAGCATGTTACCCTAACTGTACCTAATCATGATAAGTTACGGTGTGCCATTGGCATTAAACCAGCCAGCTGTATTAAACTATATCCTCTAGCGTCTTAAAAACACATATTTATTAGCTCCTGTGGCCACTTTTCCATTCCATAGATAAAAAATTATTTAACAACTCCTCCCCACCCCACCCTGGGGGAAAAACAACCTTGGTGTATATTTGCAACCACGGCAAACTGTTAAAATTTAGTACATCTTTTTTTGCTGTGAGCACTTCACAGCTATGCTTTATAACAGAGGGCTCAATCATCTTTTCCCACAGATTTCTCTGTGGACATTTTATATCCACATTATAGTTTTTTCGCCAGCATTCGTGTTTGAGTTGCAGAGGCATGTGCTTCTCTTAAGAGAAGGTTAAATAAATGCAGTTTATAAATACAAAAAAAGAAGGGATAAGAGGAGGAAGGGCTGCTATTATTTTGATTTAACAGATGAAGCTTGAGAAGATAAAGTAGCAGAACATGAAGCAAATAATTTGGCATTTCTGGGGGTTTTTATATATATTTTAAAAGTCAGAACCACAAAGTATGAGCAGCAGGTGCTATTGGCATGATACAATACTAATTATGAAAGTGTGTGGCTTATTTATTTAAAGTATTTCTATTTCACTATTAATCACAGTCTTATACAGTGGTATGTGGTCAGTGGACTAGGGGGGCTAGGCTAGTTCCCTAAATGTTCCCCTGGTGGCTCCTTCATAAAGCCCAGGAAACTTCTGCCCGGCTTATCAAGGTGTGATGCTCATGCACACGACATCAACTCCTCCACCCCTCCAAAAAAATCACCCTCACAAGCCACTGCCTCTGGCCCTAACTGTTCCTCTACAAAAAAAATTCACCACAAGCCACTGGTCTCATAGTGGCTTACCAAAATTAAAATAATAATGTTCATCTGGAAATGGAACAGGGCTTTGCACACACAGCCACTGGATGATCTGTGATGCCATGGAATATTTATAAGAATTCTAACATTGAGAGGGAAGAGTCAATCAAAAAATGTTAGCAAGTACTGCAGCTACAGGGAATGCTAAAAAGAGAAATGAAGACATGCAGTGATACCTCAGAAGTCGAACGGAATCCATTCCGGAAGTCCGTTTGACTTCCAAAACGTTTGGAAACCAAAGCACGGCTTCCAATCGGAAGCCCCGGAAGCCCTGTCGGATGTTTGGGTCCCAAAGAACATTCGCAAACCGGAACACTCACTTCTGGGTTTGTGGCGTTTGGGAGCCCAAACGTTTGACACGCAGGGCATTTGGGATCCAAGGTATGGCTGTAATGGGTATGGGGAAGGGAAGAACCTTTGACTGGATCTAGAAATTAGAGGGGTTGTGTGCCATTGCCAGAGTTGTTGGGGTTGAGGCTGAAGAGTCAACGGAATGTAGAGATGAGAACCTAAGTGAGAAGAGGGCCCGGCAGAAAGCGTGCTAAGAGGCAAGAGAAAGAGAGAGAGAGATCATGATGTACTGTGGTTGAAACAAGGAGAAAAGTATAGGGAGCTGGCAACACAGTGCAGATACAAGGGAACGTGGGACTTGGGTCAGGGTAGAGCAGGCAGGGAACTGAGGTAAGGGGGCAATAAGAAATTGCTATTGCAGGGGGACTTGCATAGGGCACAAAGCAGGGTGGGGAATGGGTCACATTACCTGTATACCTGAAGACGCATCTCCACCCCCAGCATTCAGTCTGGACACTGAGGTCCAGCATCAAGGGCCTTCTGGTGGTTCCCTCACTGCAAGAAGTGAGGTTACAGGGAACCAGGCAGAGGGCTTCTTTGTAGTGGTGCCCGCCCTGTGGAACGCCTCCCATCAAATCTCAAGGAAATAAACAACAATCTGACTTTTAGAAGACATCTGAAGGCAGCCCCATATACGGAAATGTTTGGTCTATGGTGTTTTACTGTGTTTTATGTTTTAATTTGCTGGAAGCTGGCCAGAGTGGCTGGGGCAACCCAGTCAGATGGGCAGCATATAAATAATAAATTTATTTTTATTATTAGTATTAGTATTTTCCTAGTGGAAAGCTGTTGGGAGTAGCATTCCAGTAGACTAATTCCATGAAAATTTCAATTTACGGACCC